CATATGATTTCACTTATATGAGGAATCTAAGGAATAAAAAGAACAAACTAATAGCAAACACTCACAAATACAGAGGACCGTCTGTGACTGCCAGAGGGGAGGGGATTTGGGGACTGGGTGGAAGGGCTGAATGGTTAAAGAAGTACAAATTAGTAATTGGTAGGTGGTCACGGGGATGGGGAGCACGGCATAGAGAATGTAGTTAGCATTAATATATTGGCTAGGCGCAAAACCAGAGGAGAGAAAGGGCAATTAGGGGGATCGTTTTATAAAGTAAATAAATGTCTAACCAATGTACTACTGTATACTTGAAACCAATAATAAAATAAAATGCTTAAAGAAATTTTTTCTACTTCTAGTTGCTAATAAAAGTTTATTAATGGATAGATTTGGAATTTTATGAAAACCCCCTTTTTTGCATTTATTGAGAAAATCATATGATCTTTCTCAAGATTATTAGCGTGGTAAATTAAATTTATTGCTTTTTGTAAAATGAAACACACTTTGGATTCCAGATACAAATCCAACTTGATCATAAAGTTCTATCATTTTTATGTATTTGTGGATTCAGTTGGACCATAATCTATTTAATTTCTGTACCTATGCTATGAGGTTGGCCTGTATATTTTTAATACTATCCCCGTTGGGATTTGGTACCAAGGCTGAGCTAGCCTCACAACAGTAGCTGCACGATGCAAACATCTTTTCTCATCTTCGATTTTGATGTAAAACGTTACTATTCCTTTATGAGCTATAACTCACCGGTGAAACCATCTTATCCGAATTTTTTATTAAAAAGTTTCAAATAACTGTTTTAATAAAATAACTAAAACTTAGAAGACTCTTCGGCTTTTCTGTTTTTCCTGTCAGCTTTGGTAAGCTGTGGTATTTAAGCTCCTGCGCAATTTCAGCATAGTGCAGTGATAAACTCTTCAGACTCGGGACGTGACGCATAGGCTGAAATCCTGGATCTCACCTGCTGACCTCGTGCAGTGTACAACTCTCGGCCGCAGGTCTGACATGTGTAAGACGAGCCTGATAAGAGAAAGGAGCGCAGTGATAGCGTCTAGCTGTGGATTAAACAAACATTTTGAAAGCACACAGAATAGTGCCTGCCACATGCTAAGTTCTTTGTACATGTTAAGTAGATTTAATTTTTGTATGTTATTTTTCGTAATGTTCTCTAATTATTATTTTAAATTCTAAAGAATCTGAAATTTTTCTTTTTGATTCCAGATATTGGTTATTTTTTCTGCTCTTATTTTCTTATCAGTTTCACCAGAGGTTAATTAGTCATGTTTTTCTTTTCAAAGACCACTTTTGGTTTTGTTAATCTTCTGCGTTTGTTTTCTATTTTATTAATTTCTGCTCTTTTTCCTTCTTCTCTCATAGTGTTCTTTTATCCACTTTCTTTCTAATCTCTTGAGATGGATTCTCGTTTTCATTCTTTTTTTCCAGCATGGTGCTTAAAGCTCTAAGTATTTCTCTAAACGCTGATGTAGCACCCATCTACAGATGAGTGGACCCGGACGGCGCTGTGCTAAAAGGAAGAACCCAACCCCCCCCTTGCCACCCCCAAAAAAGGCAAATCGTTTATGTTATTACTTATACGTAAATATTTTTTTAAGAAGTCAAACTCAGAAAGAGAGAATAAATTGGCGGTGGCCAGGGCCTGGGGGAGGTGGAAATGAGATGCCGGTCAAAGGCTACAAACTTTCAGTTAGAACGTAAGTTCTGGGGATGGTGGCTGCAGTTAACATTCTACTGTTACATTTGAAAGTTGCTATGAGAAAAGATCCTAATATGTGAGGTGACAGATGTGTTAATTAACTTGATTGTGGTGATCAGTTCACCATGTGCATCGCATTCTCACATTGTACACTTTAACTGTCACGATTTTATGTTAATTATACCTCAATAAAGCTGTGCTGTGGGAAACTAAACAAAAAATTCTAAATTACTTATTTTTTTTCTATTAACGAGAAAGGTATATAAAAACTTCCCACTCTAAGTCTAGATTCATTTACTTCTCTTTGTTACTCTATCAAGTTTTTACCTTACATTATTTTGAAGCTATATTACTGGAGGCATAAAAATTAGGAATTCTTATAGCTTCCTGGTAAATTAAGCCTTTTATTATGAAGCAGTCTTTGTATCTACAGTAATATTTTGTCTTAAAGTCCAGTTTGTCTGATAATAAGATCCACACGTTTTTTTTGTTAATGTTCCTCAAGTTATATTCTTTTATTTTCAATCTTTCTGTATTGCCAAGTTTTCGATGTGTCTTTTGTAAACAGAATATAGTTGCTTGGTTATCTTAACCCACTATGACAATCTCTGCCTTTTAACCTGAGGCATTTATTTACTTTTAATGTATTTGCTCATGTGTTTGCATTCAATTCTACCACCCTATTTAGTGCTTTTAATTTCTATCACTTCTGTGTTTCTCTCCTTCTTTCTTTTTTTTGTCTGATTGAGATTTTTATAATGCCATTATTTCTCCCCTGCTAGTCTGAAAAAGATAACTGCTATTTCTTCTATTTTAGGGGTTATACTAGCAACTCTCTATGTGTAGTTATTTCTCAAAGCCTGTGGTTAACCAATAACTTCACCCTCCTCCCGGCTAATACTTAAAACACTTTAACTCCGTTTACTGCCCTCACAATTCATGTGTGGCTTTTGTTTTTACATTATTCCATAAATTATTTTAACCCCATTTTTGTCGTTTTATACAGTCAATGCTCACTTATATTCATTCGGATATTTGTTATTTCTTTGCCTCTTTCTCGAACCTCCTCCGTCTCTATCCTTCCGCCTAGATCATTTCCGGGCTGCTTAGAATACATCCTGCAGAATTTCCTTGAATGAGTGCATGCCTGATGCTGACGAACTCTTTCAGTTTTTGTCTGAAATTGTCTTTATTCTACCTTCGCTCGTGAAGAGTATTTTACCTGAGTACAGAATTTTACGTTAACGCAGGATTTCAGTACACACGGCCCCACACTGCTGTCCGGCGTCCACGGCTGCCCTTGAGAACTCACTTGTTCTCCCCCGAACTCCAGTGAAAGTAAAATGCCTTTTTCCCACGATGCTTTTAAGAGTTCCTTGGTGTCTCTGGTTTTCTGCAACATTCCTACATAGGTACGGCCTTGATTTGTTTATCATGTTTGAGATTCGTTGGAGTTCTTGAATGTAAACATCGATGCCCTTCGTTAGTTGTGAAACAGCCTCAGCCACTGTCTCCTCAGATACACGTGGACTTCCTTCTCTCTCATTTCCCTTCTGGACTCCACTTAAATGTACATTAGACTTTTTCACTGAATCTTCTGTATTTGCCACACTTTTGTCTCTCCGTGCATCGTGATGGATAAATGACCATTTCTTTCCACTGTTCTAATTCACTGATGTTCTCTTTGAATCTATTAACTGAGTAGAACACAGACATATGCAGTGAGTTTTTAATTTTTGTTATTTTTAGATAAAAACTTTCTGTGTTGCTTTTTCCCCCCATATCTTAGTTATATTTAATTCCGGTTCCATACTGAAATTTTCGAGCCTGGTTTTCATCTCCTTGGACTCAGCAAGCATTGTTATTTTAGCGTTTCTGGCAGTTGCCATATAAAAAGCCCCTGTGTTTAGTTCTGTGGTCTCTTGTTTTTATTGATTTTCATGATGGTTTTTTGCTTCCCTGGGTATATAGTTATCACTGACTATGTTCTGAACATTGGATTCAAAACTTATTTGTAGACTCAATTTGAGGCGGGGTGGGGATGATAATATCGTCCTTCACTTGTTTTGCTTTGTTTTTTCAAGTATCTGTGGGGCTTTAGCAGTCAAGATCCCTCAACGAAATTTCAAGGCTTGAGTTTTGGAGGCCGTTCGGATGACACGAAGACCTGCCACAAATTCTTGTAGCAGCCGTTTTTCCTCTACTCGCCCTCACTCCGCAGGATCCCAGCCCAAAGCCAGAGAGCTTTAGCAGCGTCCCTGCTCTAGAAGGGCCCAGATCTCTGACGTTTATCCGGCCCCGCCCCCGTCCCGAGAGGCTCCAGAAAATTCCACTTAATCTCTCATTTGCCTTTTCTGGACTGAAAAACACGCTCCGCTGTGATGCTTTCGCTCTTTGTTTCCCACCCTTTCCAAACCTCCACCCAGCATTTCCTGTCTAACGAGCGAGCACTTCGATCCTTCCCATGAAATGCTTTTAATATTTTCCAGCCTTTTTATTTGTCCTCCCAGGAAAGATTGTTTCAAATTACCTCACTGATTAAGGAACGTGGGGACTCCTCTGCGGGATCCTTTTTCCACTTATATGTCTTAAATATATTTTTTTGAATTTTGAAAAGTTATTATATAAAGTAGGGTCTACTTCGAAGCATTTTCACCAAGGAAAATAATGACCCAGAGAAAAAAAAGAAAAAGTGGCAGAAGGGAGGGAGAAGGGGGAGGCGAGCGGTCCGAGTCTGCGGTAGAGGCGGCCGCCCCGAGAAACCCCCAGGGAGAGGACAGAGCCTCTGCTTTTGACGTGGTCCTCAAATCCTTAGTCACCTCTGGGAAGCAGGAAGACGTATATCCATACTTCACAAGTGGCAGCAGCAAGAACAGAGACAGCCCCCTTTCTGGAAGTTACCATGAGGTTGAGGAAATGAGACATTAAGAGAGAGAAAGTCAAGTCCCCACACAGGGCACAAAGGGCAAGAATCCCTGGCAGCGGTGCGGGGGGCCGGGCTGCATCAGCCTCTGCGGTTCAACACAACGGGCACAAAGGGCAAGAATCCCTGGCAGCGGTGGGGGAGGGGGGGCGGGCTGCATCAGCCTCTGCGGTTCAACACAAACCCGGGTAGCTACTGTCTGGACGATGGTCAGAGGAGGGTTCTAGGGGCTAGTCCTATTCTAAACCCTAAATTTTTATCACAAGACAAAGCACCTCAATTTAATGGTGAAATGTGGAAGGAAGAGGCAGAAATTTCAACACCTGCTTCAGAAAGTGTCAAAGAGGTAAGGGGCACCCGGATTCGAGCCAGGGACCGCTTGATCTGTAGTCAAATGCTCTACCCTTGAGCTACACCCCTGCTTGCACGTGATCTTTCATTAGCATCTTTCACCTATGGCGCTGCGCCCAGGACATTTACAGGTCTATACATCACTGTTCTTTTTTCCGCGTGTCCCAGGAGGTGGCGAGCCTTCTCATTATCATCCGCTCTCCTTTCTACCTCTCTCTAACCTTAACTAGTCTCCACTCCAGCCCGCCTCTTCCTCAGGCTGTGGTCATGGTACCAGCCTTTACCCCGGAAAAGCCATCAGAGTCTATACTAGGGTTCTACTGAGCCAGCACAGTCATCAGGACCCGAGTGGTTGGTTCTAGGTCTTTAGTGAACCTCACACTCAGCACTGGCGGAGCCTCCTCCCTAGCCCAAGGCCTCGAGGAGGGTGGCCTTGTTTCACTCCTTCATTCATTCACTCAACAAACACGGAGTATGTGAGGTGCCAGGCCTTGTCGTCTATCCATACAAATAAAACATTGTCCCTGTTCCTCAAACAGTCTCAGTCCAAACAGGAGACAAACCATGAACCAAAGTATTTCCACAAGAGTGGCAGAAGCCCAGAGAGAACTGTTGGAGCAGCGAATAAGAGCTACCCTGCCTGGAGAGTCAGGAGGGGCTTCCTGGAGGAGATGGACAAAGGAGTTTGCCAGAAGAAGCTGGAGACGATTTTAGGCCAAAGGAGGAATAAAGACAAAGATAAGTGTGTGTCTGGAGCTCAGGAAGGCATCAGACTGATGTCACATAGGTGTGCTCATCAATCCAGGAAACGTTTTGGAAGTCTGGACCCCTGCGAATGCAAGGGGTAAGTCTTAGCCATTGTCACTGGGGGAAGATCTGTGACACACAGAACGGCTATGCATGACCTCAGATAACCCTCATGACCATGCCTCTTGTCTAATTCTAACATAGGCCAGCACCAGGGAGCATCAGAGCACGTGTCCTAGGACACAGCACAATTTGTGGAGTGAGGCATCAAGGACCAATATGGGCCATGAGAGCAATCATTTGCCTCTTCCTTAATACTACACAGATGAAAAGAACTTTGGCAAGGGGGCACCCGGATTTGAACCGGGGACCTCTTGATCTGCAGTCAAATGCTCTACCCCTGAGCTATACCCCCACACCTACTTGTAAAGCCTTAATTACACCTCTTGAACTATGCACCTGACTGCTGTTTCTGGACTCTAATGACCCAGCTCCCCAGAGCAGGCAGCCAGCCCTATGACGTCCTAGCTCTCACTGTCATCACGAAGTCACTCAGCCACCTACAAACAACTACTGAGCAGCTTCTAGATGCCAAATTCACCCTTTGTCCTCCTTCCATTTTCTCTTCCTCTCTCTCTGGCTCCATTCACCTCCTCCGCCCCCATTCCATCTGCCCTGCAGTGGGCGGTCACTAGTATTCCCAGCGTAACAGAACCCTGGCCCCCTCCACCCTCCTGCATGGGCCTCTGAGGAGCAGAGAGGTCTCTGCACTGATGGAAGAGCAGGTCTGGGACAAAGAGCTTGGCCAGGATGCCACCCTCTGGGACACTGATGACCCCTTTCTCCCTTTCCACCGCGTGCTTCATCCACTCAACCTGACAACTACTGTGGAAGAATAAGGTGGACCAGCTCGATTCCTCTCAAGGAGAAAACTGATTCGGGAGGGGTGGAGCAGCAGGACAGCTTCCTCGTGAGCCCCTGAGGCCGCTCTGTGTGAGCAGCGAGACTGGGGAGGCAGCCAGGAAGGGGACTGTCCTCTGATCTGAGAGCCTGGGCGCTGGTGTGGGACGGAGCCTGGCAGTGCCCCGCTCCACATTGACAGAAGAGCCAAAAGAGGCTTCGCGCGCTCTCTCCACCCTTCCCAGTGCTCTCCGCAGCTCAGCTCCTCTCCCCATAGAAGCAGTCCCCCCGAAAGTCTATCTGCTCACGGGGCTCTGGGGAGCAGCTCTGAGTCCAGAAACACGGAGGTGGCTCCTGGATCCCAGGGGCTGGGTTACTCAGCCCTCAAAGTGAACGCACACTTCCGGTGTCCTCTTAAGCTCTGGTTTTCAAACGGGCACCGCATCAGAATCCCCCAGATGCGCGTGTTAAAACTGCGACCCCAGGCCCCACCCAGGCCTACCGAAGCAGCCTGCCCGTGGGAGCACCCAGTCTAAGGGGCAGCCTTGCACCACATGTCTGGGGGCCACCGGTCTGCAGCGGTGGGTACAAAAGCAGCTCCCAGGGTGAGGCCTGGGGGAGGGGGAGGCGGAGCGGTCTTCTGATGAGGCTGGGAGCCTGAGGGTGGAGTGCAAGAAAGTCACTAACAGTTATTATTTGAAAACGACGAAGACCACAGGGCCGACTCCAAGTCCCCTGAAGACTTCATTCCTCAACCCCCAGAGCTCGCTTGAGCACCGCCCTAGGGCAAATCCCGGATCCACGGCAGAGCTGAGCCAGGGTTGGGGGCGCCAGGCCCAGGGGCACCTTGGCCTGATCCCCATCTCCCTGGGAGCTGCTACAGCCCTGGGACCATGGAACTTGCCACAGCATCTAAACGACCGAGTCCTGCTGCCCTGTCTTAGGGGCCCGGCCCGGTGGCCCCTGGCTCCCTGCACCACGGAGAAGCCCCTCCCCAGGCTCCTGAAGCAGCAGCTCTGAGAGACAGAGGGAAGGCACTAGAGCCCGCAGGTGCCCTCGCTGCTGCTGCTTCTTCCTGCCACACCTGGGTCCCTGGATTGTGCCCGACCCTTGCAGGAGTCTTAAAAACCTTACTTTTAGCATCAGTCTGACATGCCAGCCTCTCAGTACCCTGCTCAACACCCACCTTCTTCCCAGCTCTGAGTTCACTGCGACTTAATTTACCTACTCAAAGAACCTGCTTCAAAGGTGAGCTTTTCTCCCCAAGTAAAATGTCTGAGTCTAGAAAGCAAGGGAAAGGAGTGTTGGTGTGATCCTTTGTTTCCGAGGGAACAGGGCTCCAAGGTGCCCGCCCATCCCCTGCCCAAACAGAGAAGTCTCGCTTTGCCCTGTGTTCCAGCTTCCCAGCTGTCATTCACATACAGGGTTCCTTACCTTAAAAAAAAAGGTTTGAAAACTGCGCATCTGATCCAGTTTTGCTATTATTTGAAAGATAAAGAAGATAGAACTCCTATTTGGCTCATCATTCATTTAATATCACTATTTATTATCTGCATTTGTGCCAGGCACGGTGTTAGGTGCTGGGGACATTCGAGAAAGACTCGATCCCTTCCTGAAAGGATGCTAAAGCCTAAAAGACAGAAAAGCAGGGATTGAAGTGCAGAGGATTTGAGAGCAAGTGTGGAGGGATGTGGGGACAGATCTGAGTCAGGGACAGTCTCAGGAGGAGGTCATCCTCCAGCCCATGTCTGCTGTCAGGATTCCATAGGCTCCACAACAGCTTTCTCAGTCTCAGATCCTGGGAGCTCACCTGTCTGCCCTCTGCCCTTCCCCCAAGCTCCCAGAGTGGTCGCAGGCCACAGTGATTCCTCCAACGGGACATTCAACATGGGGAGCATTCCCTGGGCATCAGAACACCTTGGTCTGGCCCTATCGGTCAGCTGTACAACGTCGAGTGGCTCACTCCACCTTCCTCTGCTTTTGCTTTACCACCTGGGAACTCCTGGCACCAGACAGCCCTTCCCCAGGGAAGGTAAGAGGCCAGGCCTGCCCCGAGCCGGAGGGGACAGGGTCCCAGGGATCTCGGCCCACTCTGCATTGGGTAGGCTTGGCTGCCCCTTGACTCCCTTCTGCACAGGGATCTGGAGCTCTGGCTTGGTGGTGACACAGTCCGGAGAGAGAACAGGCCTGGTCTGCCCAAGGGGCTCGCCTCTGCAGGGCTTAAAGGGAGAGGGTGCCTGCCAGGGGTTTCGAGAAGGGAACATTCCCCTTTGAGATATGGGGAACAGGGCCCCCATGCTCCCACACTGGCAGTGCAGGTGATGAGCCAGGTGGAAGGCTCCCATCCTGCTGGCCTCACAGGGCAGGACGTGGAAACCAGGAAAGACAGGAAGAACCCACAGTGACCTAGCCCAGCCACCTCATTTGACAGATGGGGAAACTGAAGCCCAGAAGTACAGGTTACCGCACCAATGTGAGTCACAGCCACATCAGTCACACGTCGAAGTCAGCTCTCAGGTTGGTTCACCGTCCACTCTGCAGCACAGGCCTCCTCCTGCCTCTCTTCCCCTGCCTCCCCTAAGGCCGGCATCCCCCCCTCACCCCACTGCCTCACAGCACGCTGGAAAGGGGACTTCATGGCCAGGCAAAGGGAAGTAAAGCACTTTGTTCTGGGCCTCGGCCACCCAAGGAAGGAAGAGTGGACAAAAAGCCAACTGCGTATCTGCTCCAAGCAGTGGGAGAATTCAGGTGAGCGAGCTAGGGCAGCATGGGAGCGGGGTAGGTGCAAACATCTAGATTTAACTCTGTTTACACACGTGTGCATGCACACGCATATACACTTGCTCTTTATCCACAGTCCAAAGAACTTCACATGCCAGACTGGACTTCATTTTCTGGTCCCAGGGCACCCTTAAAAGTAGGCAACACTCAGTACAGCTCAGTGAGCCCTAGGGGTACGAATGTAAATTAAGGAAGGTCCCAGCTCACCAGAAATAAACAGGCTGGCAGGTGAGAGATGTGTGAGGAAGAACTGCCTCTGGTGCCATGGGAAGGACAGGATGGCTAGCAACAGAGGCCAGCTTAGTCTCCATGAGACCCTGGGAAAGCCGGTTAACCTCCCTGAATTTAATTTCACAGCACCTAAAGACAAGAATTAAGGATACCTTCTATCTGCCTGAAGACACAAGGTTGACCAAATGATCTCAAATTGCTTCTGGCTCTCAGATCTAGGAGGATCATTTGATTCAATAAAGGAATAAAATCCAGGACTCTGGATTGGAAGTCCCCAGGGACCAGCTCTTACCCAGGGAACTGGTGTCTTGTGGTTCCCCTCCATGATGGCCTTGCAGAGCACCTTCTGCCAGTCTTCCAGGCTCTGAGAAATACATGGCTACATCTTCAGCAGTCATGGGCACCTAGAAGTACAGGTCACCCATGCCAATGTGAGTTACAGCCATTTCAGAGACCAGCTGGAGCCAGCTCAGTCTCTTCTCTCCCCTTCACCAAATCAGATGGCATTGCTGATCAAACCACTAGGCAAATGCAAAAGCATCTCCATTACATTTGCTTCAGACAAAGTACAGGAACCAGTGGCTAAAAGGCTTCGGGGTCAGGGCTCCTGGGTTCTTGTCCCCTCTCCTAGGTACACACACATCTGTGATTTTCCCCACTTTGGCCGGTCCTCATCTTCAGAGGTCGCTCTGTAGTAACAGACACAACCACACCCCTCCCAACCAACCCTACTCCATCTGCCACAAAGATGTCTCTGCTCTGTCGCACATCTCTTCCACCTTTTTCAAGCCCTTTAAAGTCAACTGGTTACTGTCATTAGGAGCCAAGATGTCAGGCTCTGGCAGCCAGGAGCCCTCTCTCCATTGAGTCTATGGCCCCTGCTGAATCCAAGCAGGACCTTCCACCCACACCCAGTTCATGTACCTTGAGGGTCTCCGCCATGCTGCCGGGGGACAGCTGCAAGACCCAGAGTTCTTATTTTTCAGCAGGTTCTCCATGTTCTCCAGCCGCCTCTGCAGCAGCGTCCCCAGCACGGCCCACTTGCGCTCCGGCTGGTTCCCGAACTCCAGGGTCGTCTTCTCACAGTTGGCCAGCTTTTCTCAGGTGTCTGCGTCCGCCTCTCCAAGTGTGAAGTTGGACATCCTGGGACTCTATCTTCTCTGAACAGCAGCCAAGATGGCCAGAAGGTAGATCTCTACAGACTAGCCCTGGGCCTCTCGTTGGAAGTCAGTCCCCATATGCCATTCCTGTGACTAGACACAAGGAGGTAAGTCAGCCACCAGGAGAGGGGCCCAGGGCCATTCCCAGCTACAGGAAGGTCAGGATCCTCTGGAATAGGGGGAAACTTCTTCCAGGTGCCAAAAGGCCTCACTAGTCAGACCCCCAAACAGACACCACGTGGCAGACTGTCAAAGACAGCAGCCACTGGAATGGGTCATTTTCATGGAGGACCAAAATAGAAATCACACCTGTAAATTTTGCCTCTACAAAACCCTATCTTTCCTTGTTCTCTTCCGAGCACAATTTAGGTTGCTACCTGAATCTCTACTTCCTGAGTTGCAACTCTTTTTGCTCAAATAAATGTTTTGGTCATTATCGCCTGAATGTCTTCTTGGGTTAAGGGACCCTCACAGCCAGGGGCAAGGCTGCTCAACAGGAGGAAGCTCAAGGGCTAAACTGGAGTGAACATAAAACCTCCCCAGACACTTGCCCTGGTCTCAGCCAGGAAAAGAGGGTGACAATGAGGGTGATGGCCTCCCTGAGATGGTCGGTTTGCGTGGGGGAGGCGGGCTGAAGGACAGGTCCGGGAAGGGGAGCCCTGGAGTGTCTCCGGAATGAGGGCATTCACAGTCCAGCCCCCCGCACACCCCGACCTCCAAAGCTGTGTCCACTGAACGTCAGGGCTGACGGACACCTCGGTTAGGTCCGTTGACGAGCACACTGGGGCCAAGAAAAGAGAAGGGACTTTATCTCGTGACCTCAGACAGTTCCCCTCAGACCCTTGGGCCTCAAGCGTCCCTGTCCTCAAATCTCCACCCAGACCGAGCCCTCCAAGTCCAGCATGGGTGGAACCAGAACACCCTCCCTGAGGGTCGCCCTTACCCATAGCTGCCTTGTCCACGGTCCTGCGCTGATTGGCCCGGAGTCGCCGCCGCCGTCGCGCGGCCTCACGCAGACAGGTCCCTGGACTCTCACAGGTTCTCGCTCGGCCGTTGGGTCCGGCTGGTCCGAGCGCGCTGGGGAGGCGCGGACAGAGAAGGTGAAAGTGCGGCCTGGCAACTCCTGAGCTGGCGACCCCGGCCCCGAACTGGGCCCCGCCCCGCAGCCCGGAGCCGGCTCCTCATTGGCCAGCCCTGGAAAGCCCCGCCCCCACCCCGTGTGCATCGAGTTCCCGCGGCCCGGAGCCAGCGCCCCATTGGCCGAGCCGGAGGCCCCGCCCCTGCAGCGTGCTGCGCGAGCGACCCGCAGGTATGAGCACCCCGCGCCCCAGCAGTGCTCATTCGTGAATGCGCCCCGGTCCCTGGGCCTAGTGCGGAGCAGCCCACCGCGTAGTCAGCCAAGCGTGTGCTGTGTGCTCGCTACCAACTGGAGAGCAGGAACCAGGTCACGTGCACATACTCATCGAGTCCAACATATTTATTAAGTCCCCATGGGGACAAGGAACTGTCACCATCACAGTTAAGGGCCTTTATCACCAAGACCCCACCGTTCTTTGTTTTACAAAATGAGAAAGCCAAGACCCAGAGCTAGAAGTGAGCCTAAGGCCATACCAGGCTCCAGCTTCCCTGGTTCCCCCCGCCCCACTCTGCTCATGACCACGCAGCCTCCCTTGACTCATTTCAAGAGAAAAGAACTTTCTTTGAACACCTAATGCTTTGGAAGAAGAAAAGGGGGATGCCAGTGCCTTGCAATTACTCCTGGTTTTGCTTCTGTTGGAGTACCTGTATGGACACAGGGCATTTAGCATCAGCAAAACAGGTCTAGGAACTCTTCGCCCTGAGGCATCCCCAGGAAACAGAGGCCAGCTCTTGCAACTGAGGGTTAAGCTCTGAGCAGCTACACTTGCACCACATCCTGTATGAGCGTTTGCTGACAGCCCAGCCCTGACTTGCAGGGCCCCTGGAAAGGGTTGGGGCTGCCAGAGCAGACAAGCAGAATCCACAGCAGGAAAGGGTAGTACCGCTCCTTCTCAAGCCCAGGGGAGCTTGGCTGTCATTGATGTGTATACTCACTCGTGCCCCAGAGATGATGGCAATGTTACCATCTGTCCCCAACTCTTCATGATTTGGGGAGAGGTGTGTGGGTCGGAGGAGGCAACGGGAAGTGGCACAGCTAGGGGCTCAGGCACCTGGATGCAGGCCTAAACACATAGTGCCAGACAAATAAGACAATCAGAATGACTGAGGACCCATCACTCCAGCTTCAAAATCACTCTACTCGAGGGCCGATCTATAGGCAGCACCCAATGGTTTAATTTAAGAGGAACAAAGAGCCAGGTGTTGTCAAGACTTCCCCCATGAGGTCTGATACTATATCCGGGACTTTCACAGTTTGAATCTCATTGCTTTGGTAAGCATTTCTTTCACTGAAATACAAAGGGTTCCTGAGGGATGGAGCCCAATAGGAACGTTACCTCACTCTGCACCCCAGGATCTTACGCTCACTCCAGAAAATAAAGGTCCTTCCTGAGGGATTCTAACTGGGAGAAAAGAGCTGGAGATCCACATGGAAGAGAAAAGGAGCCCTGAACTTGAAAGGAAGGACAGAACCAGGCTTCTAATCTATCCTGCTGCCTCTTAAATCTATTGTGACCGTGACTACACTAAGATGAGGTAGGAAGCGCTGGGGTCATTACCCCCTTTGACAAATGAAGAAAGTGAGGCTGGAGGTGGTTAAAAGATGTACCCACATCTCCTGGCCTAACTCTGTCAGAGCCCCAAGTTCTTGGAGACTGCCCCTTCACACGGCAAATCAGGCCCAGAGGCCCAAGTCCAGGCTGGCTGTCCAGGATCCTCCTCTCTAAAGGCGCTTCCTGGGCTCGCTTCCTGAGGCCCCTGTTGCAGTGACGTATGAGGTCCACTCTGTGGAGCATGCACATCCATGAACCGTGCCCTTGGCGGAAGTGTCATCCACTCTGGGCTTCAGTTCACTTTCCCCTTCTCCACTGATAACCAAAGTCAATCATGGATGTGAATACCCACTGGGAGAAGGACTGGAATCACTGGGCCAAGGCACACACCTGGTTTCCAGAGCAGCAGCCAAGGCATCCTCATCAATACGCAGGCAAGTCTGGACAGCCCCTCTGCTGTCCCCAAACACAAGCAGGTGGCGGAATAATTCCTGCCTCTCCGGAGCACTTGGTCCCCTTACAACCACACACAACACTTAAAAAAGCACTACAAAAGCTCCAGGGTGGTGGGGTGGCGGTGGTTTCAAAATAACGTAGAAAACTCAAATTTCCAGTGCCTATTCGTCAGGCTGTTTCTCATGTTGCAGCAAGCACCAAACTTCTCTTACAAAACCAAAGCCCTAGGGTCTCCCTGTTTCTATCACACCTAATGGGAGAACCACAGTCTCTGGGCCACATGTCTGTCCCTGGGACCCGCCAAAGGCCCCCACCAAAAACTTGGCATCCCTAAGCCTTAAGGGATCCTTTATAAGTCAGGAATGTAGAAAAGGCAGCAGAGGGACAAACTGAGGAAACAAGAAATTGAGGCATCCATCACACTCATACACTCTGTCACCAAAAAGGTTGCTGCTTCCCATTTGAATGGGGGGAAAAAAAAATATCACCTCTCCAAAGCCATCCCAGAATAAGGAACGAGCGTCAGGCCCCGCAGGTGGAGAGGTCCTGCCGGGGCGCCCCCCACAGGCTCCTGGCCTTGTCAGCCTTCCGCGGTGTGGCTCGGCCAGGGTCCGGGTGGGCTGCCCGGGCGGGCGGAAGAAGCAGGAAAGTGCGGGCCCGCCTGGCCTCGGGTGTGAGTCTGCATGTGGATAGCCAGGTGGTGGTTCCGGTTGAAGGTCCGGCCGCACTGGGGGCACTGGTAGGGCCGCTCACCAGTGTGGATGCGCTGGTGCCGGAAGAGGTCCGAGGGCCGGCGGAAGGCCTTGCCGCAGTAGGGACAGGCGGGCCAGCCCTGGCTGTTGCCTGTGTGCAGGCGCTGGTGCAGCAGCAGGCTCTTCCGCTGCTGGAAGAAGCGCAGGCACTCGCTGCAGTGGTACACCTTGGTGGCCGCTGGCCTCCGCCCGACGAAGGAACGGCCTGCCAGGGAGCGGTGGCCCTCCGGCTCCTCTGGGAGCCAGCGGATGACAGGGCCGGGCACCACCACCTCCCCCGGCTCCAACGTGGAGTGGGCCTCCCCCCAGCCGGTGGGCGAGCTGCCCCGGGCGCCCCTGTGCTCCTCCTCCACGTGGGTCCGCTGGTGGATGGTCAGGTTAATCTTCAGGCGGAAGCTCTGTCCGCAGTCAGGGCAGGGGAAGGTCCGCTCTCGCCGGCGAGGGAGGATGCGAGGCGGCTCCCCCACCGCTCCTGCGGGCCGAGGGTCCCCTGCTCGTACCCTTGCCACTCCCTGGGCATGAAGCCGGCGGGGACCCCCAGTCCTTCTCTTGGGCCCCTTGGGGGTTCTGCTCTTGGTCTGGCTGGGGGACTCCCCCAGGAGGAGCTGCTCCTGCGACGACTCGTCCTCAGACTGCGCTTCTGTCTTGATGACCACACCACCACCACCGCCTGCCAGAGGAATTTCCAGTGACTTCAGGTGGGCCGCAGCCACCCACCCCCAGGGCCCTTGCCCCAGTCCTGCCCTCCAGGCCCAGCTCCACAGACACCCGCCCCACTCCTGCCTCGGCTCAATCCTTTCTCCTCCAGTGCCCGTAGCCGGGAACAGCGGTCCTGCTTGCCTGGCCCCACCAAAGAGGCACTGCCTCCATCCAGTCTGTCTGCTGTCACAGGGCCTGTAGGCTGAGCTAAGGACATCAGGAGAGAGGAGAAAAAGCTGCAAAACGAGGAGCCAGGGAGCCAGGAGATCAGGGGTCAGACCAGTGGGAAACACACAAGTGGGAAAATAAAGGGGAGACAAGAGGCAGAGACCCTGAGATCCACTGGCCACACAGGCCTCCCAGGAGTTGACAACTTGAGTTCTGATCTATGAATGACAATGGGCCTTGTGGGCCCTGCCTGCCTCCAGACTAGGCGAGAGGCCTCAGGCCTGGAGGTTGTGGGTGACTTAGTCATGTTCAGAGCCACTCATCCACACTAACGAATCCACACTGAGCATCCGCCACTGCCTGGCACCATGCTCTCAGGTGACACACAGGAGGCACGGGGACCTGAGCTTTCTGGCTGGGCCTCAGTGTGGATCACACTTGACTCTGAGACAAGACTGAGGCAAAGGAGCTGCCAGGACAGAGCAGTGAAAAGTCAAGGTTGACGCAGTGACGGGTGGTCTTGGCAGCAGGTGCCAGGGGGTCCCTAACGCTGGAAGAGAAGGTCCTGGCCACACCCTGCTTAGAACACTGAAGCCTTCCAAACCCTCGAGTGCTGTTCAGCCCGGTCTCCTGCCACTCTCTCCTCTGACCGCCTCCAGCCCCCGGTGGCCTCAGCTGCTAGACCACAAGGTCTGCTGAAAGGGTGACCGCGAACCTCGCCCTCCACACACTAAAAATGAAAATCTTCAGCCTTTTATGAGCAACTGCCAAGGTCTAAGACCAGAGTAATTTCTGTTCTTGCTGAAGCCTGAACTGAAACCAGGAGCTGGGAGGCTGCGGCCCTTCACTGGGGGACCTCCAGGGACAGTGGGACAGTGCCTGATGGCAGGACCTTGGGTCCTCTGCTCCCTGCAGCTCACTCATACCCTCACAAATGAGTCACTACAGGACTTTATTTCTAGGTGAGAAATGACTCATGGTTATTAATTTAGTTCTACAGCTACAGAAGCAATTGAAGACGATAGGAATCATCTAAACTTTGGGGTGAAACACTGTGGCAGGTAATGGGCTGCATGGTATTCCTGAATTTAAGGATCAGTGAAGGTCTCAGGATCCATCCTTCGTGAAGGCCAAGGCCCCCAGGTCCCTCATCTGGAGACCACCTGCAGCTTGGCCCCCACGTCATGATCCCATGATGAACCCGAATCTCACTTTTGTCTCCCGCCGAAGCAAGTACCAGACAGAACCAGGTGAGAGCTGGATCCCTTTCTCCTGGGACAGAAAACCTGCCCCAAGGCCATAACGGGCAATAATTGCTTTCCTTTTCCTGCTCATCAGAGTGTCAGCCAGGTTTACAGAAAATACACAGACTAAGTGGGAACTAAATATAAATAGCAGGCCGCCACACACAAACTGTGAGACACTGCGGGATGTGAGCTGGGACCACTTTGCGGGGTGGCCATGAGGCCTGTCACCAGGCCACAAACCTGGTGGCATGTAGCTTATCTCCAAGCAGCAGCTTTCCAGTCAGGCCTGGTCACGGTGAGGGAAGACCAAGGCCACAGAGGATCGGGGTTCCCAGAACCCCAGGGCAATAACTCCTGGGGGGTGACGGAGGGACCCGTCAGGAGGTAACCCTTCACAAGGTCCCATCATGCCAACCCTCGGCCTACTCCCAAAGGGACCCCAGGATTCTCTGAGGCTCCGCTGTGGCAACAGGGCCGCCTCCCTTCACTCACCTGGCCCCATGCTGGGCTGGATGTCCTTGAGGGGAGAGGCTGGTGACTCCCTCTCTGAAACTTCCTCTTCCTCTTTAACAGAGGACAAAACGCTGGTGCTGGCCAGGGGCCCTGCGGGAGAGAATCCCCTAAGGGCCTTTCCTGACACCAGGCTCCTTCAGGGTGACACAGCCACCCCCAGCAGGCTCTGGATACACTCAAGCATTTGCCAGGAAAAGGGAGCCCCAGGGCTCTGTCCGGAGGACTACAGGTACCCACTCCGTAGGCTGCTTCAAAGGTGACAGAACAGCTGTGAAGGCCCATGTGAGCCAGTGCCAATGACTGGTCCCTCAGCATCTGAGGGTCACCCTGCAGAGCCTCAAAAGGACAGAGGGTTTGGGGAGGCCCCTGGGCTGCAGCACCAGGTCTGCAACACAGCAGGGACAGTAAGAGAGTCTTATCCCATGTTATACACTATCTGGGAAGGAGGGACACAGCGAAGGGAGGAGGTGTCACCTCCAACCTCAGGAAGACCATACTCAGTGGGGAAGATGCAGAGAAATAACAAGAGAGAAGGTACCCAGAGAATGGAAAGTCAGGCTAGCAGGAAGGCGGAGACGCGGAAGCCAGGCCAGCAAGGGGCAGTTTGGGGACAGAAACAAGGCCCCCGATTATCTGCCAAACGCCAGACTAATGCCTTCTGAATTATACTCCATATTTGTGAAAAATGGACAGGAGTTTCCTTTAAACAGAAGCAGACAAAGAACATTTGAAGGGTGACGGAAGCCCCAGAGCCCCTCACAGGCCTTCATGGAGATGACAGCAGGCTAGGCATATGACACATATCTCCCTGTCACAGTAACCAATGTGAGAAGCTCAAGATCCACCCTGTGTGCCTGTCCCCTCACTGTAGCTGGACTGGTGCGCCCGGTCCCCAACATACGCAAGGAACCCACACCTTCGCTCAGACCACTCTCT